AAAAAATAATATAACACAAAGTTTTTGATGACCATTAATAATTAGCAATTAGAAAACTTTTACATGTAGTCTTGGGCTTCAACCTATGCTTGTGATAGTTGTAACATTTAAAATACTGCTAGTATAGTATTGCTGCTGTGATGGGTAAGTTTATTGAGAAAGTTCCTCAAGAACGTAACAGAATGTGGACATGGATGTCACACTTCCTTCTGTCCCAGTTATGATATAAGCTTTTTTTTGGTGTAAATCCAGGGACCAAGAAACCAAATGAAACTCACTACCATCGAGTCAGTTCTGACTCATAGGGACCATATAGGAGAGAATAAACTGCCCAATTGGGTATCCAAGGCTGTAAATATTTACAGAAGCAGACTGCCTCATTTTTCTCCCATGGAGCTGCTGCTGGTTCAAACTGCTGACCTTTTGGTTAGAGACCAAATGTGTTAACCACTGCACCACAACCAAAAAAAAAAAAAAAAAAAAAAAAACCAACAACAAAACCCCAACAAACTCACTACTGTTGAGTCGGATCCAACTCATAGTGACCCTTCCTTGGGTTTCCAAGGCAGTATTACTACGGAAGTAGATTGCCCAATCTCCCCCACTTTAAAACCAGGGAAGGCATTGTTAATTTTAACTCAGGACCAGTGTTATGTTGCTCTGGTGTGTGGAAACACTCTTGTGGAATTTGATAGGAGGAAAGATCATCTTACCCTTCCTTGTGGTAAGTCAAAGTATAATTGGTAGGAAGTCCTCCATCTGACCCAGGCTTCCACCAGCAGGTGAAAGTTTCCTTTTCAGGAGAACGGCATTTCACAAATTCAGGTTTCCCAGGAGGTGACTGTCCTAGAATAAGCCAGAAGCCAGTGGAGCATATATTAAGGTCCATTCAATCATTCAACCATTTTTATTGGTGACAGAAGCAGATTGATGGGACCCAGGTCAATGACAAACCCTTGAGATGAGATGCCTAGGGTGGGGTGCTCAGAAGTGCCAATGCACCCTACAACACTCCTCTGTGGGTTGAACCAATGCCGGTAGGATTTCCAGGGCAAAGCTCTGGGATGGTATAGGTAATATGGAGGGGGGGTGTACTTCAAGATGGGGCTATCAAACATCTTTGTAAGGAACAGTGACTAATTGTAAACTATCAACAAATCAATAATATGAAGGACCGCGTCATGAGTGAGATGGGTACACACAGATTGAAGAGTATGCTCCCTTCTGCAATTCCAGGGATACCTACCCACAGGATACAGGTAGCAAGCAAAAGGATTCTTCTTCCCAGGTACAAGCATCTGGTGGACACTTAGTCAATACATTGCTCTTTGGCACTTATCCACTCCACTCATGAACCTCCATCTTTCTCTCATTTCCATACAATTAACTCAGTCTCTGCTCCTGAACTTTCAATATAATATCACTGATGTTCCCTCTATTTGGGACTGTCCCAAAACTGCCTCCTATCTATCATCTCCTCTTATCTTCTTCTTTTTTTCTTTCCCTTTATTTTCCCTCACATATAATCAGCTTTGACCATACGACCCATCCTCACTAGTTATCTCTCCATCTTCTTTGCCCCATCTCCCAAGCTTGACTTTTAACCATTTTATCTTATATCTCCCTTGAGTCTTTTTGTGGTGAGGAGCCAAAGGGTTTCTTTGTAATTCTATGGTTCTTTGGGGATAGGTGTCATCTTAAGAGGTAGATAAGTGGGTAGCTCCTCTCCTGGTTATTACCTACTATTATTAACCAACAGCTGGAAGCTAGAGGGTCTGAATGAAGTGATATGAAAATCAATGTCAAGGGGATAGAATATTTTACTTGCCTAATACCCAATGCTGTTGGTGACTTGGTTGTCTTTTCTCTTTCTTGGCTGTCATGTCCAAAGAGGAAGCAAGTAACCCTGGGAGTTTGCCCTGATGCTGCTGGACTAGAGAAGGCCAACCACTATCATCTGTACAATGACTTTGATGTTCCTTTTGGGCTAGCTGGATGCCCTAGCATTTTGTTCAGGAAGTCAGGAGAAGAGAGGAGAGCTTTTGGATGTTGGTCTAAGCTACTCAGGGAGCTCTCTCTGTTTTCTCCCATACTTGCCTCCCAGCTTCCACACTGGCTCCTAGGCCAGAATTTCTTGCTGAGCACCAGGTCAGAAAGAACAATTTTGGGTGAGACCTTAGTGAGGAGAGCAGGGGTGGGGAGAGGGGCATTAGGTGAAAGTGGCTAGAAAGAAGAATTTAATGGAATGGCACAAAGCATCCACGGGCTGGAACTGGGGACACCCAGCTGATGGTGTGAGTTACAGCTGAGCTAGGCTCCAGCTCACCGTCCAGCTGAAAATCGTCCAGGACAGC